ACAGAGTTCCTTTGGTTCTGACGAAGGGTCGTGATGGACCCAAAATGTTGACTCACTTTTCTTTCTCCATAGATGCTGCCTGACCTGCTGAGTTTTCCCAGCTTTCTCTGTTTTTGTTTCAGAGTTCCTTACATACCACCTATATAAGGAAATTTCATACATGTTTATTGAAATGGAATACAACCTCCCTCCCTGGAGGGACACATCAGTCTGGCGTGAAGGGCGCTATATAAATACAAGTTGTTGTTTATGTAATTCTGGAAAGTATTAGGCACAGGTTGGCAAGAGCCAAGGTTTGGGAACCCAAGAGGGTACGCTGAGGTACTGCTGGAGTCTAACCAGCTAAAACTGGATAGCTTATGAAGTTTGTGGCATATAAAAGGCGGTATTTCAACTGCAAGGATTATTATCTAGCAGAAGCTTGCAACATAAAAGAGCAATACTGAAGGAGGAGTGAATAATCTAGATATATAGGATGTGTTAAATATAGGGATAACACACCGATAATCTGCAAAACACCCATTGTCTGGACTCACACAGGAGTTATGATATTGGAGGGAACTGTACTCAAACAAGAGTGATTGCCTTCAGGCAAGGAAAAGAGGAAAGAAAATGAGAGCACATGATGAAGATAGAATTAGAATTGCAATGTTTTGTGTAAATACATAGAATCTACATCACTGAAACATGACATTAGGCCGTACTCCACACGAACCTCCACTCTTCCTAATCTCCCCTTCCCTCCCTCCACCCCACTCCTCTATTCCCTTCTTCTTCATGTATGTGATAGATTGGTGTTTTGGAAATAATTTTTTATCTGCATAGTAAAATAGTCTTATTTTTTGCAATGATAATAATAATCCTTGCATTTGATACAGTGCCTTATCACGTCTTCGAGACATCTCAAAGCACTTCACAGAATATACTGTAAAGTGTAGGCTGTTTTATGGGTGAAACACAGCAGCAAATTGCACACAACCGTGTCCCACAAACACTCTTGGATTGAGTACCACATTATTATGTTTTTGGAGGGATTATTACCCCCGAAAAATTATATCAAATTCAAGGATTATTATTATTCAATGCAGATGGAGGTTAGAAGTAGAAAAAAGTGTGTTTTAATCAAAAAGAAACCGTGAATACAAGTGTAGGTCTAGTAGTTACATTATTAGAAGTGGAAACACTCCCTTTTATTAAAAAATGTACCTTATTTTGGTATAATACAGTACAAATTTACCTTTATACTGGGCCTTTGGGATGTCCCAAAGCAGTTAACAGTGATGACTGGGCACCAAGCTGGACATCTACTCTGAAAGAGGTGGGGAGGGGAAAGAGACCGAAAAGAGGTAGATCAAAGAGGTAGATCTTGAGACAGACTTTGAACCAGGTGAGAGAGGGAGCGAGAGGGATGGGCTCCAGGATGGAGTTCCAAAGAGTGGGGTCAAAAAGGCTGAAAACCCGGCCATTGACTGTGGGATGGGTAGGGTGGGGAACACGAAGCAGGCTGGTGCTCACTGAGCAAAGGGAGTGACTGGGTCAATAAGATTTGAGGAGGTAACAGAGGAAGGTGAGGCAAGTCTGTGGAGGGATTTAAAAGTGAGAATGAAGAACTGTTTGTAACAAGTATTGTCCACTTACAATATCAGCCTTTCTCCATACTGTTCATGATAATAATACATAAATATAATCCTAGCATTTAATACAGCACCTATAACACCCAGAAGGTCTCAAAGGATCTCACAAAGTTCCTGTAAAGTGTAGTGATTGTGTATTTTTCTAGGCCAACATGCAGCCAATCCATTAATGTTATGTGAATGTCAGGGTTGGTTACAAGCAGAATATGTTCTTATACTGTATTACAGTATATGCTGTTCGTGGATGTCCTAACGTGTGACTACATTGTCTGAATGACCTAATCACAGGCTGGTTGTAGTGTCTGGTATGCATCACATGGTAGGTAGAAGAATATTACAGGGCATTTGTGACTGTGCAGCATTGTGACTGATAGAAATAAATTGCACAGCTGGATCTTTGCAATACTTTAGCCAGTTGCTTGCTAAAAATTGATGAAGTATTAAGAAGTGTTCTAAATTACACTGGAAAAAAGTCTTCTATTCAATATTACACAATACTAAAAGAGAACAAGACACAGTGAAATCAAAGTATATTTTTTATGTAGAACACACTGACAAAACACAAAGTACTAGTTGCGTTACTTTCAATGTCAAAAAATAAGGCTATCCTCCCTAGGGGTGAGACTGTCCTCTTTGGAGGGAGGTAAATGGGGAAGTGGTTAGAGCACTCGCCTCGCAAGCAAGAGGACTTGGGTTCGATTCCTAGCAGGGTAAAATGTTGAGCAACTTTCCTTACTCCACACACCTCTGTTTACATAGCAATAAGTAGGAACCCGGTTGTTAGTCGATTGGTAGATCGCTTCTCCGGGAATAATAATTCCTTCACAAAATAATAATAATTTGGTCACTTAATCCACGACTGTTTGTGGGACACTGCTACACGCAATTGGCTGCCGCGTTTTGCTCACAAAATACACAGTCAATTCACTTTATAGTATATTCCATGAAGCGCTTTGAGACATCTCGAAGGCATGATAAAGCACTGTATCAAATGGAAAGATTATTATTATTATCTCCTTGGAACTAAATTGGCTCCAAGGTTATGTGCTTAGCAACAAACCACTGGAATCAAGTCAATCCTCTGCCAAGCTGGTCCGGAGGTTCTATTGATGACAGACCAGCAAGCCTGGCTCATCAGCAAACCTTGGAGGGACAGACGAGCACAAAGAGCAAGATTCCTTCCTACTCAGCTCCTGTTAGCCATGCAAGGCAAAGACCTAACGGGAACGGTGGACCTGGCTGCACAAACAGGGGAAAGCTTGTCAGACAGGTCTTTCAATGGCAAGCTGTGCAGTTTAAGCTGTGCCTAATACTTTCCTAAGTTAGCTAAGCAAAGTGAGTCCCTCCAGGAAAAGAGTGCACATTCCAATCTAGACACAGGACATTAACATATAGATCAATCTAGTTTGGATGCTATTAAGCATTGTGATTGGTTTCCACATGTGTCAGATACCCGGCTGAACAACAAAAAATTAAAAACAGGGTTCAGAAACAGAGAGGTCAAAATTTCACCTGTGTCTAGATGTACTCTATTTATGAAGTATTTCAGAGTGTTCAGAATACGGCAAATTCTAAAATACGTCTTAATTTGAAGTTTTTATTTATGTTATGTTATTTTAAGGTTGAATTCCACAATTTGTCAAATTCTTCCTACTTTGAAATACTAAGTGAATGGAGTAAATTTAGACTCTGGTGGAATTTCTCCTACAAAGCTTGTCATTTGAATGCATTGATGGCTTTTGCTAGTGTTGTTTATATTGAACTGTTAAGGTACAATACTGGATGTGGCAACATCAATATATTTTATGTTTCTACATTATTTATGCTGACGCTGCCCTGAGAGAGTTGACCAATTTATTTTTCCACGGGCGTCTGCAAAATGTGTCTCAAAAGTATTGGGGTGGAGGAAGGAGCGTTTAAGATAATTACAGGCTGACACAAGGGATTAGACATAAATTATTTGTAAAAAGCCAGAAATGAAAAATCATATGCTCATGTCTGATAACTGGGTGAAACCTATTAACAATGTGGCAAGTTGAGTACTTGTTAGATCGACACAGATCTATTCAAGACTCACTATAATTATTAAATGGAAATGGTACAGGAAATAAGCAGGTTTTATATATGTATTAACCAAAGTATATTTATGCTATTTTACATAGTATACATTTCGTACATCTGCTTTACGATGTTTTGACAACATGGTAAGGCGCTATATAAAATGCAAGGATTATTATATTATTATTATATATAAATAGTCAGGTAATGTAGGTTATATATGCATCTATTATTTTGCTATAAGTCTGTAAAGGTGAAGACAATAAAATTGCTTATTGAAAACAATTACAGTTTGGAAATTATCTACAGTAGTTTTCATCTAAAAATGTCTGCAAACCATAACATACAATCCAAAATGATGTGCAATACATTTTCAGAATTCCCTGCTTTACTTCCAAACTTAGAACTGCCTTAAAATTCAGTGACATTTACCATCCAACTCTTACCACAAATGTGAAGGTTACCAGCAAAAGTAATGCTTTTTAGCAAAAGTTTAAGTAACTCTATTAATTGTAATGCATCCTTTGCCTGAAATATATTGAACAGTTTGCAGAAACAAAGTTCTATTGTACAATTTTCTGGTATGAACTATTTTTCCACTATTTTATAAAGGGTGTAGAATTTTCAATTTCTGCTTAAATCATAATTTCGATTTAGCTTGATTCTGGCAATGCTTGCTCAGTCACAGTTTATAGTCAAGGTACAGATGACAATTGGTGTGCTGATCTCTCACTGTCAGAAAGCTTTACAATGTTAGTCTCATTGTACCTCTGTAATTAATAATGTATAGCAGCAATGTTGTACCTGTCTATTTTGGGCCAATTCTGAATTCTGAAGGACCTACCTAATATTATTATTAGTGTGAATGTCATTAGCCTTTCGATCTTTCTGTCCTAAGAAGATCATTAAGAACTATTTTTCGCTTATTTTGTGATCTGCATCACGAAGAGAGAGAAAACTAGCACAGAATGGATCAGTCAGAACCGAGTAAATTATGGTTTGAATTTGCCTTTCTGCAAGTGCCAATCTATAACACATTGCAACTGTAACAAGGGTTAGAACAGCAGTAACAGGAGTGTTGTACGAGACATTCTTTCTGGCACAGTATTTGTTTAAAATATACACAGAACAGGCCACAGTGAAAATGTTAACAAAACTATTTGCTTTCAAATATAATGGGAAGAATGTAAACTTCAAACAGTGTTGTTGTATTGGGCATGCCATAATACGGTAGAACATGTTTAATCTTATAGTCACAGCATATTAATGTATCTTCAATTTACTAGCTTGATGAATCATAGCCCTTACCTGTCTCTTTGCATTCACCTTCCTCCAGATGTAGATCATTCAGGAGGTGCTCGAGAATCTTCTCGGGGGTCCCAGACACCACCACATACCTGTCAGACAGTGAAGAATCCACAGAAGAGTCATCTTCAGTTGAGGACTGGGAAGGAATACTCCATTCATCCTCTGAATCTTCGTCGATGTATTTAAAATAAGGCACATCAAATGCAGGCAAGGTCACAATTCTAGTATCTTCAAAGGTTTCTGAAACCTTGTCTTGTATGTAGGCATCAAAAACTCTCAGTCTGGAACTTCCCATACTGCTTGCTTTGTTTTCTTAACTGACAGCACATTACATAATATCAGTGTTGTATTATTTTCTTTCCCACTGTTAGATTCCAGCTGATATGATCCATCTGGCTGCTGAGTGCTCTGCAGAGTATGTGAACCACTTACCTCCAGTCATTCTGGGCACTCCCTGCTGTGGGGGCTGGGCTAGCTGACGACACTTTTTTCAGGACGAGTGCATCTTGGCCTCGTTCTTTCATTCGCACTGTATTCACTTCGTCATTCTGTTACAAGAGGAAAACAAGAGGGAAACACTGAGATTTCATGGGAACCACACAAGGAGCTGCAAAACAGAAACTGCTGTATTGTGCAATACATACACAGATCCATTGAGACTTATTTTTCCATTTAGTTGATGCTGTCAAGGCATAGCTAGTTATTCAATGTGGGGATATGGCCTGTCAATTGAGAACATCATTTTTAAACAGGCAATAAAATTTAAGATCTTTGAATCTTTTTCCATGAATGTACTTTTAAAATTAATTTGTGTTTAGAAGGAGCACACTGCAATATATATAACAAGACCTCTGCAGCACTTTACGTGAGTGGATAACAAGTGGAACATTTAAGGGTAATTTATCTGTTGAAACTCACAGAAGTCAAAGACATGGCCCACAAAGAGTATAATTATTGAATGTGAGTTCCAACAGGACAAAAGCAACTGGACTAGACATTCCATAAACCATCTGAGATAATTAAACCTAGTAACCCAACAAACAATAAATTACATTTATATAGCATCTTTCACGTCAGGAGGACGTCCCAAGGCACTGGACATACTCTACATGTGAAATAGGCCTGAAAATCTGCCATTGGAGCAGAATTACCATTTCAAATGACCAAAGTGAAAGAGAAAAAATGTGTAGAACTGTATCAGCACTTTGAGGCACTTCCTGGTCTTGTTGTTGCTGAGTGCAGTTGTAAAGAGAACTATACTTCGAAAGGCAGACCAATCACTGGGGCCAGGGAATCATCCCATTCAGCTCCTGTTAATCCTGCAAGCCAAAACCCTAAAGGGAGGGTGGTTCTAGCTGGATAAGCAGTGGGAAAGCTTACCAGACAGCAATAACAATGTGGTTTAGCTAGTTAGACTCCAGCAGTACACCATTGCACAGTCTGGAGTCCCCAAGCCTTGGCTCTTGCCAACCTGTGCCTAATACTTTCCAGAATTGGATAAGCAGGATGTGTCCCTCCAGGATGAGAGTTCATATTCCATTCCAACAATCTATCTCTGGAATTTCCTCGTGTATGTGGGATGCATGAAATTCTCAGTTTGGCTTGGATACTCTTAAGCATGGTGATGGGTTTCCGCATGTGTCAGATACCCAGCTGACCAAAAACTATATAAATCAAATTGTTGTACCACAGTATTAAGAAACAGGAGTGAAATAATAACAAGACATTTCAAGTTTAAAAAAAGGAGTAATTACAGTAATGTTGAGGGGCTTCCTATTTTGCTGCATTTCATAATTAACAAAAGGAACACTTTACGAAATGCCACAAATTTTATCCCGCTATGAATTACGGATTCGTTTTCACAAAGTTAAAAAAATTCTTCTCAAATATTTTGTGATGGCTTGGATATGTGATAGTTTAGAAATGGTCTTATCGGCTACTTTGTTTAAAAAAAGGAAAGATCAAAGGCTAGCAGACTTTTTAAAATATTATTGTTTCTTATTCATAACAAGGTGAATGAACAAGGTGTGAATGAACTATTCAGTGTACCATGTTTATTGTAACAGACCATCTACTGTCAATGTTGTCCCTCTCACAAAATGAATAAGTGTAAAGTTCAAAGAACACAAATCGGTACTGGGAAATGCAAAACATGTGTGCAACGAGTGTTTAACTGTGAGGGGGTAACAAAAGGAAATGACACACAGCAAGTCTGCACAGAGAGAAGGAGAGAGAAAGTTCAAATTATGACAACAAAGTCTGTACTTTCAAAGAGAAACTATTTCTGAAAAACATCTGCAAATGTATTGCGTGCTTCACAGAATTTTCTGTACAGTGTAGTGACTGTGTATTTCTAGGCAAACATGGTAGTCAATTTGCACCCAATGTTCCACAAACAGCCAAGAAGCAAGTGACAAATTTGGGGGGGTTGATGGCCAGGACATGGGTGGGGGGGAACATCTGTTTCAAATAACGCCATGGGATACTTAATGTCCACCTGAACAGGCAGATAGGACCTTGGTTTAGGTTCTTATCTGAAGCACACCACATACCCATGTCATTTCTGTGCTACTCACTTAGTAGCACAGGGGCAGTGAAACACCCTTTGTTAGCAATTTAAAACAGACTGTACAAAAAAGTTCTCCATATCTCTATATATTATTCAGAATGAGAGCCTGAGGTAGCAAGAGGTCTTTGAGATTTCAGGGTGAAAATCGGAACCTGTGAGGTATCAATTATACCAAAGTTGATTAATCCAGTTAATAAGGCCACTCGATAACAAAGACAAGTGATAACAACAAATTGCATCCATGTAGCATCCTTCATGTGAGTAGCATCATGAAGTACTTACTAAACATTGGCTGCAGGTGTGACCTTAAATCTCACCCCCACTCCGATATAATAAATGTGTCCATGCAGCGTTTTTCCATGCTTTCAACAAGCCGTTTGAGCCACAGTTGCTAAATGAAGCTCTATTTATAGAAATATAATGCATCACACAATACATTTTTAAGATTATTGCTACCTCATAAGACTGATAAATAAATAATAAGATGAAGTCTAAAAGCTTGTCCTGATGTCAGATTCAATTTGATTACATTCTGTGTATTACCTGAATTCAGCTCGGGGGCAAGTATTATTTTATTTATTGAACTGACAACAAAAACTTAACTAATAGTTTTGCCACACAAATTCCTTTTTTGAGAAAAGACTTGTGTAAGGCAAGGCAATACTTCAGTTTCCATAATCGAAGGGTGAAAATTATTTTCTGACCTTGTACTGTTTAAATGTCAAAGGATCATGGCCAGACTTTCAGTGCAGTTAAAGTGACCCTGAATGATCCTAACTCTGTTTGCCTATCTGCAAACAACTAATTCCACCAGTTTTAAATGGTTTCTCACCCCCATTCACAGAAGATACTTTGCAGACAAGATCAAAAAAAAACTAAATTACTTATTTTTGCATAAATGTCTGTTTTCAGTCAGATAAAGTAAAGCATTGAGAAGAAAGGTTCTTTAGAAGCTTAGAAGATGTAAGAACTAAAAGTTTCTTCTCGAATGCTTTCAGGTCTGTTGCAGATCCTGAATGCCCTTGAAGTGAAAAGCCAAGAAAATGAGCATTGAATTCTCCATGACGTTCTACCACTCTGCTCAATGTTCCAGTCACGAGGAAGTGAGGTGGTGCTGAAAGTAAAGGACTAATTATTTAGGTATTGTCAAGAGAGAAAGAACTCACACCAAATGGCCCAATCGCAAACATGTGGTGTGTTTATACTGCACATTTGGCCAACACGTGCTGTGTTTGTACTGCACATTTGGCGATTAATCACCATAACCTGTGTTGCAACTCAATACAATACAATACACATTTATATAGTGCCTTTCTCATCTGGAGGATGTCTAAACATACTTCATCAGTTGGTTGAGGACCCGAGGGGGATGAGAGCCAGGGAAGGTGAGAAGGGGATAGGATATAAATAGGAGTTCATTCCACACACCCACTGTTTCTGCGTTTTATACTGGTGATCTTTAGTTCTGTGTTCAAAGGTTAAACAGCCAGTTTATAACTACATTATTTGTGATCTCAGGATATAAAGAGTTGGATTACGTCTCCCTTTCAATCTTCTTTTCTCCAGTGAAAACAAGTTCAGTTCTGGAAGGTTTTCCTCATTGTGTAAGTTTATTACTCTGAACCCTCTCTGAGTACATCAATAAGTTTTAATTTGTAACAGTGCCTTTCACATCAGGAGGATGTCCCAATGTGCTTCACAGGATAAACTGTAAAGTGTAGTAACTGTGTGCCCCCTAGATGAATGCAGCAGTCCAATTTATTTTTGTCAGCCTGACACATGCGGAAACCCATCCATGCTTACGAGTATCCAATGTAAACTGAGAATTCCATGTATCCCACTTACACAAGGAAATCCCAGAGGTAGATTGTTGGAATGGAATGTGCACTCTCTCCCTGGAGGGACTCATACTGTTTACCAAATTCCAGAAAGTATTGCAGATTGGCAGGAGCCAAGGCTTGGTGACCCCAGAGTGTGGGTTGGGGTACTGCTGGAGTTTAACCAACCGAAACCATATCACTTGCCATTACTTTCCCACTGCTTGTCCAGCTAGGACCACCCTACTTGTTAGGCCCGCAGGGTTAACAGGAACTGAGTAGGATGACTCCCTTCCCCCAGTGACTGGTCTGCCTTTCCAAGTCCTGCTGATGAGCCAGACTGACTGTGCTGTCATCAGCTGTGCCCTGGAATACTGCAGACCTGCCTGTCTCAGGAACTGACTGGCAGTCCAAGTGCACACAGCGATAATAATAATCCTTGCATTTGATATGGCGACTTGTCAAGTCTTCGAGACGTCTCAAAGCGCTTCACAGAATATACTGTAAAGTGAATTAACTGTATATTTCATGGGCGAAGCAATGTCCCACAAACAGCCATGAAGTAAATAACCAATTTTGTATGGGGGATTGTGCCCAGGACACTGAGAGAAACTCCCTTCTCTTTTTGAATTGTGCCATGGGATTTTTAACGTCCAACTGAACAGGCAGACGGGGCCTTGGTTTCATGTTTCATCTATAGGATGGCACCTCTGCCAACATACCATAGCACTGTATTGAATGTCTTCTTGAACCCACAACCGCTAAGCCGGGCTGACACATGACTGGAAATAACTCATGTGCATGGGGTTGTGCTAACCAGGTGTAAAAACATGTGTACAAAGAGAATTGTGGAATGCCCTTAATTACATAATTTACAACCGATTAAAAGGTGATTCGGTAAACCTTTAC